TGAGCTTCACATTCCCCACCAGCCCCTCCTTGTTGGTGAGAACAAGGTCCAGCGTAGCACCTCTCCTCGTTGGCTCCTCTACCACTTGGAGAAGGAAGTTATCACCGACGCATTCCAGGAGCCTCCCAGATTGCTTATGCCCTGCCGTGTTGTCCCTCCAACAGATGTTGGGGTGGTTGAAGTCCCCTGTGAAGACCAGGGCTTGTGAGCGTGAGGCTGCTCCTATCGGTCTGTAGAGGGTCTCATCCAATCTGTCTTCCTGGTCGGGTGGCCTGTAGCAGACCCCCACTGTAATGTCACCTGTCCCTGCCCTCCCTTTAATCCTGACCCACAAGCCCTCAGTCAGCTCCTCATCCATCCTCAGGCAGAGCTCCATGCACTCCAGCTGGTCATTGACATAGAGGGCAACACCCCCTCCTCTTTATCCTTTACAGTAATTCCAGATCTATTTTCTTCTAGACATAATTTTGCCATCAGTTCTTTTTACAAGTGCAGATGTTGATACTCAGACAAATGTAATTTGGGGTATTTGGAAAAACAATTCAGTCTTGTCAGTGTAGGAGGATTTCACCATCCTCATCAGGAGGTTCTCTAACTTGGAAAAATTGGGAGAAGAGAAAGATGGAGACTGTTCTTTATTTTCCCTTTGCACAGACTTGGGAATTTTTTGAAGCGAGTTGCATTTAAAAACTGACATGATAGTAACTCCTTGTTCATTAAGTTTGGCTCTGGTAACAGCATAATATTATAGTTACGACAGCTCTTTCTGTAAATAAACCCGTGCTCCGCCTACCTATGTATGATCCAAACAAGGATTTTTTCTGCCTGTCTTCTTATCAAGTAATCCATTTGTTTCAGGTACAAATGGGCATTTGTCCCAGAGGTGGACACAGAGTCATCTACTGTGACCTCTCATCTGGTAGAAAATCATCAGGAATGCAGACCACACATTGTAAGGATCATGGATCTGCTGAAGATGAAATATGGGGTAAGGAAAGAATGCTTCACTTGAATCTTTTTCTTTTTTTTTTTTATCCATTAACTTACTTTTCTAAACAAGTAACAAGATTTTAAGTTAGGCGAGAGGTTTCTAGATATTCTAATAAAATTCATGAGGCTTTAAAAAATTATCTGCCTGCTTTCACGTATGTATCTTGGAGATGTCAGATTGCTTTTGAGTGTGAGGGAACAATAGGCAGTTCTCCTATTGTTCCCTTAAATCTGCCCACAACCACCCAGTGAAAACAATTTGTCTCAGTCAGGACCGGTATTTATAAAAAAGAGCATGCTGTACTTTGTCAAAAAAGTTTACCATAATAGCCTTTTAAATTACCATTAAGGTTTCATATTAATTCTTCCAGCAAAGGAAATAGGGGCATTAGTGTTTCTCTCATATCTCTGTATTCTGTTGTTGTTTGATATCTGATTCTGAAGGCTAGTCCAAATTTGCAGTCTTCTGAACGTGAGAGACTTTCGTTTAGTGGAACCTCGAATCCAAATATAGAATAACTTGGTATACCATCTACACAATTTATATTGTGGTACAGTTGTAGGCTGTGGATCTCTTAGTATGAAAAAAGTGTATAGCACAGGGTTCAAACAAGCCATAACAACATCGTGTCTGAATGCAAAACCTTTAGTAAATCTTGGTTTGTTTGCTTACAGGAAACAAATGACACTGAGGGAATTCCCAAGAAGCACAGATTTCCCCTTTTGAACTTCCGCTCTGTATCTAGCATCACCCAGCTTATGCCCTTCTTCAAGACTCTGTGTTGCGCATTTACAACAAACGGGAGTGAGTCCCAGAATTCACATACTTCTGCATCTCTCTCTGTGGACTACGTTGGCAGTAATGGCATAAAGATCTTGCAGCAGCTTGAAGAGAGTGTTGAATGTGACTTCCTTGAAAACATGGAAAGTTAAGCCGCATGTCGGATGCTTGGCTCGTGGTGAATAAATAGCAAAAAAAGGGAAGACTTTACTGCAATTCTTCTCTTCTTTTTTTTTCCCCAGTTTTGAAACTACATTTTGGGTTTTCTTCCTGCTGTTGTGGAGTGCTCTTCAATAATCCAGGCTTCTGAGTTGGTGTTAAAAAGCAGGATTCTTCAGTTCCTGTGGGGGAAAAACAAAAGTACAGTTTAGTGGTAATTTATCATAGTTACTGTATTCTTTTACTTGTTTTCAATGTGAAGGATTAAAGAGATTTTGTAAATAAAGGAAGAATATTTTTGACTTGGTGAAAGTAGCAACTGTACCATTTATCCAATAACTTCTCAAGTGACTATTTTAAACTGCTTTTGGAACTGTGTTCTGAAAGTAAATTTAAGAAAAAGCTAATATTGCATGTCAGTGTACAATCAGTTTGCAGACAAGCCATTTCCTGAGGTTAAAGCCTGCTTCTACTTCTCCTTTCTTTAACTTGTCCTAAAACTTCTACGCAAATCACCGAAATTTCAAACAGATGTATTTTATAAGTCTTAGCATTGTGCAAATAACTGCAGACTTACCATGTTTGTAATTTCAACTCTGTACTATAATAGCATTCTTCAGGATTAGTGATTCCTAAATAAAAGACAAACACATGCATAAAAGACAAACCTATGCAATAACATTTTGTAATTTACATTACTTGAGGGGTTTTTATCTTAATTAATTGACTAAAAATATTCTAATTGTTTTTTTAATTAAAAAACTTTGTTCTTGCAGTGACTAAGTTCACTTTGCAACTTCTGAAATGCAACTAAATGAAGATAATTCTGTAAAAATATAAATTGCTGTATACAACAACAGCCTAATTAAAATGAAAATTCTTTTATTTAAAGAACGCTTTTTATACAAAGAACGTATTTGGCTGTCCTAGGTGTTAAAAGAGGTAGGGAGATCATCATAGTGCCATGACTACAGTAATGTTCAAGGTGCAGCTTATTTCAGAACTGCACTGCTACCGCTGCAGGACCTGGGAGAGAGGGATTAGTTCTACCACCAAACAGTGCAGCTGCATGTCTGAAGGACACTTCTGACGGACAGTGGATAAGCACCATCGCAGCAATACATACAACAAAAGGCTTAATAGAACGTTTTTTAAATGAGGAGGTGGACTCCGCTGAATTTTCATATTTAGTGGATTATCTGACTGAATTAGCAATGCTGATTTGTTTGGGAGGGGAAGTTTACCATATTTTTCATGGTGAAAAGCTTTGTCTGCCGTTTTTTTTTTTTTTTTTTACACGCACCTTTGCCTCCGGAGAAATTGGTTTTGTAAGATCCACCTGCTGACTGGTATGTGCTACTTGTGTTACTTGGAACATCACAACTGAGGTAAATGTGCTGGGTATTGGACTTCACTCATGGTTTTGCTGATTAAAAAAGGACATAGAAAATGTACGGTTTACTGTCACTAGGTTGTGAGGTCAGGGTTGGTTTGTTTTTTTTTTCCAAAACTCACGCAAGAAACATGGAAGGCTCTTCTGCAGTGTTTTTTACCTACAGATATATGAAGTTTTCATCTTTGGATTATAAACTAAAATAATGAAACACTGAACAACATGCATTACTATGATAATACTGCAATGCTCTATGAAGATAATACTACAATAGGCTTATGCTAAACAACTGTAAAAATGCACATAAGCTGTTTAAGGAAAGTGATAGACTGAAGTGTAATATTGTGTAGTCACTAAGAATGTGAATTATTTGTATTAATATAATTAATGATCTCTAAAGCTATTGGAATGAGCACAAGTGAAAAGTCATCCTTTTAAAGCATTACTTGAAAATTGGAGCAGGATATTTTTAAAATGGTTGTGTTCGTTACTTACGTATCTTCAATTTTAAAGAGAATATTGTTAATACTCAGGATGATTTGGTAGTTCTACCTTCAGCTTTCTGGTGGTTGCATTCCATACTTGGGTATTTCCCTTAAAATCCTGATAAGATGCTGTCCAATGGGCTATTAAAATCTAAGACAACTTTTTGCCATCAAACCTTTTGTTTTACGTTCTCCCATAAGCTATAAACCTGTGTCTTCACATAGTTTCCTCGCTAACTGGAGGTGGTGAACCAGTAACTTAGATTGAGGGTTTTGTCATCCTTCCCCTTGAAAGGGAAAGTCCCGTCCTGGCTGCCTGTACTTCAGATGTGCAGGGGATCGGACATCAGTCACTTCCCCCCCTGCTGTGGTGGTGACTTTAAAAACAGAATCTGTGACTTAGGTCTGTACAGCTCTCTAACTTCTAAGATGATCTTGCCTTCTACAAAAATACCACTTGCTTCTAACTCCTGCCTTCGTACATACTTTTACCTTTGTCCTGTGGTTCTGCAGATGGCTGCTTTAAATGGCCTCAGATACTTGTGACCTGCAGAGTCCTTTCACTGAAGCAGAATCTAATTCTTAAGAAGAAAAAGTTCTTCAAAATTTAGTATATAAGCAAATCTTGTATCATTATAAATAGGGTGTGAATGAGGAGGAAAGGGCTCTAACTAAAAAAAAGTCCTACTTGGGTGGTGGAGGGGCACAGTTACATACGCCTAAAGGTATCTCTACCAGTGTAACTTTATTCCTTTTCTGTAGGGGACTAACTGTAGTCATTTTAATTCTTATGCTACTGCTGTTAAATCCACATGAAGGAGGAGGGTTGTACTGCTCTAACAGTGGTACTGCCAAGGCGGTATAACTTCACTGTAGATGAATCTGAAAAACTTTAGCCTAGAACTCAGTATCAAGAACAGGAGAGAAAATGCTTTTGCTTTGCTGTGTAGTTCTTTCTTTGCTTGTTTTCAGAGTAACCAAGCTTGGCTTTCTCTTTTGGATACTTCAGCTTTGAGATAGCATAGCCACAGTGCATGATACACAAAGGGAGAAGTATTTAAATATTCAAAAGGATTTCATTTTCCTGAAGGAAAAAAATAGTAGGTGCAACCAAGGTAACTGCCAAAGAAAGCAGAACTTGAAATACAGAGCATTAAGTAATGGTTAAGTGTATTCGATACGATATTTGAATGTAATTCTTCTAATAATATTAAATGTTAATTTGAAATACTTTTTCAAATGCAATTGTCATTTTTCAGACTACCTTTACTGCTCTCTCACCAACTTTATCTGATTCTGTAAAAGCTCTCAAATTCAATCTCAATGGATGAGGGCTCTGTACAGAACTCCATAGACCTCAGTTTTCGGATCCCAGCAGCAGTGGCTCTGTGCTAGCCCCTACACTTGCCTAGGGAAGGACTGCACCACTGCCTCCCTCATCCTCCCATCACAAGCCCCTACTGCTCCAGCTCGTACGTCCCTATCTTTTTGCATTCCTGAAATTTCCACCCTGGGATCCCAGTCCTGCGGTCTTGGGACAAGTTTTCTGGATTTGTGTGTCTGGAAGAACTGTGTGGAGCAGATGGAGGAAGCTGCTGCTGCAGCATCAGGGAATCATTGATGACCGCCAGGGACCGACCCCCTGTATGGAGGGGAGCACCCCTCCCCAGGAAATTAGGGACTGCTGTTGCATGCTGCTTTCTCTGTGTGACAGAGCTTTCCAAACTTCAGTCGGTACGCTTTTATATGTTCAGGGCAAATGCCCTGAAAGTGTACTACCTTTTCATTTGGAAGGAAGAAAACTCTTCCATTCAACTGAGCTTGAAAATCTAAGGCCAGAGAAGTACGGTTTCGATGACTTTGTGAAAGCTGCTTTGCGGATTTCATCCTTTCGCTGTAGTCTGTACATCTTTTGTAATGTTGTGTGATGTACCTTGCACCTCAGAAGCTGATAATCATAGAATCATTTAGGTTGATGTTTGATTACGCTGCATATGTTGAAAATCATTGATATGTGCTGTATGTATGCTGGGAAATACTATAGCGTAGCAGCTAGTAATACTGAAGCACTGAATGTCTCTCGAGTCTTTGCTTAAAGAGGCATCCATGCAGGCACCATGCGTTCCTTACAACCCCAATACTGTCATTAGTCTCATTCATGTTGGTGGGCAAGGTTGTGAGGCCTCACCTAGGCCGGGGGAGGGGGGAAGGCTTCTGTTGAAGATAGCAGGGGAAAGCATTTCCCTCAAGGTCTGTCGAAGGCTGCCCCTCAACTAAAGAGTAAATGGCCTGTAAGGTTTCAGGCACCATGAATTGTCTCAGGTTTTTCTTTTTATTTTTTCTTGCAACGTGTACCTACAGCTCTGGGGGTTTTACGTTTTTTTCTTCTATCTGTCCACCACCAAAATCACAGCTCCCCTCCAGCTGTAGAAATTTGAGATTACAGAATGAAAAACTGGGAGGACGACGAAAGGAGCTAGAGAGCAACACATAGCTAGCTTGTAATAGACACTAGGGAGCTTCCCAGCTATAAATGCGCGTAAAGCAGTTGGGTTTTTAAAGTCCTCCAGGAGGAAAACCAATAATCTGGACTTAAGGTAAGTAACCATGCAGAGCTCAAAACATGTGCCAATAGCTGAACCATAATAATTGTAATGAAACACCTGAGGGATTTAGTTCTGCAAGTAAACAGCATGCGAAACATGAATTCCGGCCTCTACTACTCTTGCAGAAGAACGCATGTCACTTGTATGCAGCTCCACAGAATACAGGTAGTGCTAAACCTTCCTATTAAGACTCCTGTTACTTGTTCCAGGCAGGCTCCTTCCCACGTTCCCAGCCGCGCGACTTCTGCGGCGAAAACGGCCGTTGTAAATACTGGTACCGGGATCCGACCGCACGCTGCCTCTGAGGAAGCCGGGGACCCTCCAGCGGGGGCCAGCCGGGCCACCCCGGTTCTGCAGGTGCGCCCGGCAGCCCGCCCGAGGAGGGCGCGGGCGGCCAGGCCCCTCTGACCGAACCCTCGCTCCTCACCTCGCGTTCCGGGGCGCCCAGCCGAGCTCGCTGCGCCAGCCT